AGGCCGTGGTGGCTGAGGGAGGAGCCGGTGGGAGAGGAAAGCCGGCCCGTCTTCCCGGGAAGTGGGAGATGAAGGCAAGCGCCTCAGGTGCGGTCGGAGACCGGGCAGGTGTCGGCAGCAGCGCCCGTTGTCGTGGCCTTAAAGTTTCTGAGCGTTGCGAGCGGGTCGGTGAGACTTCAACCTCCCCTCGCAGGGCTGGGGCCGGTGCCCTCCCACACAGGCAGGGCTTCCGGAGTGAAAGTCTGTCTTCGTGATAAAAGGCACGCCTTAACCTAAAAGTATCCTACTGAAATAAGCAAATGCTCTGATCTAGGCCTGCACTCTTCTGTTTACTACTTTTTGACTGGTTTGACTTCTGCAAGTTAAACGAACTCAACTGCTTTGATGAGGCCTTGCTGTTTGGAGTTGGTGAGAGCCGAGTTCCTGAAGCAGAAGGTGCCTGGGAGGCTCTAGGATGAACACTGAGCATGCTGCTGTGCAGCATCTCTTGGCAGGTGCACCTCTGGTGTGCTGGCTGGTGTACACCCCTTCTGAAGTACGTGATGTATGCTGCCCCTTGGGCATCATTCAGTGTGGGCTTGGACAGCTGTGCGAAAAAAAAGCACTATGTCTCAAGTGAAAAACAGTGTTGCTGCAAGCCTAAGTCTCAGTACACTCTGCTGGCTCTGTGTTTCAGGCTTTTGTGGGCCAGTGCATGAGATGCATTTTTGCACATGCCTTTTTCAGCTCTCCCATACTAGAAGGAGGTTCCGGGGGTAATTCCCCATTCTGTGGGATGACAACTTTTTACCATGGAGAGTGCAATCAAGTGCTTATTTCTCTTCAGATTTAGCATTCAGGTTCTCAAAGGTGATAATGTTTTAGCACTTTTTACTCTCTGAACTTCAGTAATACAGAAATATCTCAGCATTGAGAGAATATGTTGATGGACCTTGTAGTGATTTCTGAAGCATGTATCAGGAACAATGGGTAAGACAAAATACAAAAGATAAATAACACATGAGAGCAGGTTCAAAATGGGACTTGTGCCTGCCTAGAAGGGGCAGCAATTGGGTTTTATATGTGAGTTCATTGAAGACTTCCACTGTTGAATGAGCCTGTCTGTGATGGAGGATGGTGCAATGCCATGAGTTCTTGAATGCCATAAAGGAATTGTTCTGAGTCAAAGATGAGGCTTTAGCTTATTGCTTTCACATCCCACTGCACGTGAAACAGTTGTTAAGACTTGGAGTCTTAACTGGCTAGACTGTGTGGATGCTTGAGCTTGCTTTGGGTTGCAGAACCATCTCATCCCAGCTGCTTCCAGCAAGCCAAGAGCACTAGCTCCCCATGGGAATAAAGAAAGGTCTCTGTAAAAGATCAACGATGTAGTCTATGAAGGTTGTATGTCTCTGGTGTGCAGTCAACCAGCGAGAACATGGGAAATAGTATCCTGTTCTGGAATTACTTTCTGTACCAAGACAGTGGCAAATATTTTGTATAGCTGTGAAATTGCATTCAACCATCCTCCTTCTTGAGCCTTTCTCAAGAAGTGAAAAAAATTGTAAGACATCATAAGATGTGAATATTAAACTAAAAACTTTCTTAATCCACAGTATTTATGTTTCTTAGTGTCTTGATGCTTTTCTAATTGCATTTTTTTCCAAGAGACAAAATTTGTCTGGCATTACAGTTTTAGCTGAAAATGTAATAAGTCTGATTTTTTTTTTTAAATCCACTAGAACAAAGACGACAAAAAGTTGAAGAATATCTATCAAGAAAAAAGACTTTTTCTGGCCTGCCCATTCAAGAAAACGAGGCATCGATCAGGTAGTATTTCTGCTATGGCTTACATTCCTTTAGAAAGGTCCATGGTTGGTGGGCAAGATGTAAATAGCCATTCTCACAAAGAATCTCAACCAGAAGGTGAGGCGATGCAATGAGACTAGTGATCACATGGATTTCCTAAAGTCCTTTTATTGTCAGCAAATAGTAAAAGTTTTTACTAAGCAAATGCATAATAGATCCAATTCATGAAGTATATTATCTGCTCCTCTAGAGACTGAGACAGGACAGGATAATTTCATGGCAGAGCTCTTATTTCAGTTGACACTTTGATGCTTGCCTCTAACCTTCCTTTTGCAAATATCTTTCCTCCCCCTCTTCCTACTCAGGTGATGCTGCATGTGTTTGCAGTCCACTTGATCTAGCTTCATTGTGTTTTTATAGTTACTTATTCACTATTTTCTGCTTAAAGCAAATGTACTGTAATAAAACTCAGCCTGTGTGATGGCCAATAGTTAGGCATAATATTCTGTAAACAGAATGTGGGCATCTAGCACCAATTAGTAGCACTTTTTAATCCTGCTGTTGCCTAAAGTCTGAACATTTAGTATAAGACCTTCCAATATGCAACAGAAATGTCTCTAGAGAAGACAGGAGTGTGAAGGAGTAGAGAGGTTTCTGGCTCTAACTAGAGAGGTGGTATAGCTTTGTCACTTATTTTCACGTTTTTGCAAATGGTACATTTGTCTGAAATTTATTGCCATTTAAATGGGAAGTTTTACTTACCATCTTGTATACTTGAGGTGGCATGGTCCCATCTTCAACAGCACAGTACTACTTGGTAGCACAGATCTAACTGTACAATGACCTTTGGAATATAAAATGACAAGAATAAGTATAACCTGTCAAAGACTTGCTCTGTGCAGCAGGAAAAGGCAAGTGCTTTCATGTTGTAGAAAGCTATCTTGTGTTAGAAAATCATTGCCAACTACTTTTGTTGTAGCAATACTCTTAATTTAGCATTTGATCTACCTTGCTTTCAGTTTCTTCTCTGGCTATTAAATTCCAGGGATTTTCATAGTCTTCAGTTAACTCATTGCTTAGAGCCATCATATATGTGGATATGACTAATGCTTTTCTTTTGCAGATAGTTCCCTTCTGTGAAGCTATTGCTGTTGACTTCTGATCAGTTCATGTGTTCTCTATCACAGATGACACAGAGGTGATACCATGATGCACGATGCTGTCTCAAGATTCCACAGTCACTAGCCTATCTTTATTTTCACTAATATACTTTCATTTTCAACTCGGGTAGCCTCTAGAAGACCATCTGATGCAAAGATGCAACTGGATCTGATGCAAATGCTATCTGGAATGTTGATTTTTCAGTCACATGCAAGAGCACACATTTCGTGTAATGCATCATGAATCATTCGAGAAAAAATATAGATTTGCAACTTCTAACTGAGATGTTTTCCTTCTGAGCTGTCAATACAATTTCATAGTTGCTAGTAGACAATACTGGTGTTGGTGGCTTTGTTACTGGGTTGTCTGGTGCCTGGCTGCAAGTTTTGGAACCTGTGGGTGTGGTAGGAGCTATGTATCCTTGTTCAGACTTGCCTCAAATGGCCTGGCCTCTGATGATAGCAGTAGCTGAGCTTCAACTCCTTGTGCTGCTCCTCCTTCTGCATCAACTGCAGCATTTAAAAACTTGACCTCGTGTACCACATGCATGAAGCCATTCAGGTTGGTGCTCGTCCTTAAACACGAGAATGGCATCTGCAGTAAATAGGGTCTGTTCTCTTCTCCCACTCAGTTACCCAGTCCTTCATGGTGCAAGAAGGGATATTTTGCAGCCTGGGCCTTGATCAGTGGTTACTTAGCCTCTTTTTTTTCTTTTTTTTTCCCTTTTTTTTTTCCTTTTTTTCCCCTTCTGGAAGAAGACTACACGCTGAACAGAAATGCTTCAGGTTGAATTCAACCTGCAGACTGCCACCTGGACCATGGGAACTTTCTAAATATACATCCCTTTGTTATGTTGCAGAATGATTTAAGATGTCTTTTATCTTTTATTTTTAAAGCAGTAGCAAAACTAGGAGAACAACTAGCAAGAAACTACAAGACGAAATACAGCTCTCAACATCTCCAAAGTCAGGAATGGTAAGTTTTTAACTGATAAATACTGATGGCACTCTGTTTCAGTGACTACAACATTCCACTCACTTAAACTGTATTTGTTATATGGCTTCCAGAGCATGAGAAGTTTGCAGGTACAGAGGTGCAGTTTATTAAAACTTTATTCAGTGACTGCTTAATATATGCTTTTTAGAGAGCCTGCTGCATTACTGTATGTAACGGACCATATTGATATTCAGTTTGTACTTGGCTGGACAGTGGGTTAAAGAGGATACCGTTATTGCTGAAATCATGTTTCAATTTTAACAGCATTTCTTGAGACTCCTAGAAGTTTTTGCATATATTTTCAGTCTTCAGGGAAGTAATTTAAAATCTGAGCAAGGTCAGAGTAAGGAGTTCTTATATTGTACCATGTTACTTGCAAAAAAAAACCCACAAAAAAACCCCAAAAAACCCCAAACAAACCCAAAACCATAACAAAGAAAGACAACAAGAAAGCACCCCCTCCAAAAAAACCCACAAACCACAAAAAAACCCTACACCAACAAAACCAAACCAAAAAAACCCCCAACAACTAACAAAGCTTGTTGAACATACGTGATTTTTCAGTTGCAATGCTGGCAAATCTGATGTGATCAGAAGTAGATGCTAATACCTAATCAGAGTTGAAGGGAATGTTTTCTCTGTATCATTTTGTGTCACTTATAAGAATAAAGATGCACATGGTTGTGCTGCTAGAAACAGCAAAATACAGATTCTCCTTTGTTCTCAAGGAAAGGTGAGGGCAAAAAACTAGACACAAAACCTGTGTTCATGTTAAATGGTTCTGAGTTTGGGTTCTGAAAGATTTGAGAGACCTGGGGTTATAGGAGGAGGAATGCAAAAAGCTTAAAACTTCAAAACTGAGTCTTGAGAGAAAAAATTCCAAAAGTGAGAACAAATTCAGAAATTTCCTAAAGGGAAATACTTTGGTCTGTGTTAATGCTCATGTGATTTTAAACTTGAGTTAAACTACATAGCTTCCTTAAATAGCAGCCCTTGTACTCAGGCTGTAGTTATTGGCTTCATCAAATGTAACTTCTGAGCCTGCAGGGTAGATCAGGAAATGAGTTGCAGTGGTGTTTTCTTACAATTGAAGGGCAGCTTTCTTAAAGGAGAAAATTAACAGCTTCGGCAGACTTTCATATCATTCATGTATTCTTTTCCTGCCTTTGGATCTTTCACTTTTCTATAAGGTGCTGCTTGAACACTGCTGAATTAGTTGCCGTAGAGCATCTTCTTTGGAGGAAAAGACTGGTCTCACTTCTCATGGCTGCTGGGCTAGTGTTATGCTGACAGCGTATGGCTGAGAGTTTCAGGGAGTAGTAAAACCATATAAAACTCACATCTATTCATAACTTACAACATCCTACAGATTGTTAGAAAAATTTTTTGTCTTCTGGTAACATATCCTAATGCTTTAATTAAAGTCTTTACTCACTACCCTGTACTAGTAGGCCATCCACACTAAGCAGAGGAATGGTGCTGCCACTAAGTGATGGAGTATGCAAATGTTAAGAGAGTTTTGTTTCTGCAAGAAAAGTGTAGCGCTCAGGTTAAGCCTTCATACTTCCAAGGAAGAGTTTAAGTAATCCTTATTTGATTTTTTGGATGTGAATTCTGCAATATTACTTGACACATGCTCTACTCAGTATATATATACACTACTTTTGTAGATACTTTTCAAGTGACATTTGCTATTAATCACTTTAGTCCCATAAATGAGTTAAAGCCTCTGGAAAAAAGTAACCTGCAACATGAATGTACTTTTAACATCTTTGTGGATATCCTTTTGATTTCAGGAAAACAAAGAGAATGCTCATAAACTGTCACAGAAACAATCAAGTGGAACCTCAGAAGAAAATGTTATTTTAAACTCTTCCACAATCACACTAACAAATTCCATATCGGGGGCAAACTATAATCCTGAAGATCATGCTTCCACAAATGAAGTTACAGAAATAAAATCTCGGCATGTGTCACTTAGCAAGTCCTTCTTGCAAATGAAACGCATAAAAGAGAAGCAATTGATTGCAGAAAAACAAAATTCAAGTGTCAGCCAACCAAAGAAACCAGCGCTTGGTACATATCGTGGCAAAGTTATCCAATCCAAGATAAACTCCTTTCGAAAGGCACCAAAAAGTGAAGGGGAAAAGAGTTCTTTGCCAGACAAACTTCCTTGTTCTGCCACCAAACCAGCATCAAGTTCCCTGTCCACAAACAGCTGTAGTGTAGCTCTGAAGACCACCAAAGTCACAAACTACCTTAATTCTGCAAAACAAAATGGTGTCCTCCCACTCCAGAGCAAATCATCTAACAAAGCCACTATTAACTCTCAGTCCAGTCTCAAGGAAAGGCAACCGCCGTCTGCTGTAGCACCAAAAAAAGTAACAGTCAAAAAAATGGCTGGGGAAAGGGAACCACAGCCACCGAAGGCAGCTTCTAACAAGTCTGTCTGTAGAGCACAAGGAATGAAGAAATGTGCAGAGTTTTGTGAAGATGCAAGACCAGAAGCTCCAGCAAAACAAATTTCTGTTGTTCCTGGTACAAGGTTGGGACAGGATTCTAAAATTAATGGCAACAGAATAGCTGTGCCAAAAGAGTCAGCAGAAGAGAGAAGGTAAGTGAATTACTGTTGTAGCTTGATCTGAGGAGGTATTTAGACCTTCTTTTCAGGAATATCTATTTTGCTAATTTCTTGCTGTTAGATGTGCTGAAATATAAGAGAACTGAGTATCTGAAATTGATGCCCAAGGGCAGCAGACTAAAACTGTAGACTTAGTACAGAGAAATTGTGATTCAGACTAATTTTATCAGCTCTTCAGGCTTACAGCTTGGCCTGCGTGATTATAACTGGAAAATGCATGTTGTTTGCGCTGGCTCCTTTGTAGGTTAAGTGTTGTGATAGCCTTAAGCGTGACAAGTAATCCCGTAAGTGAATTGCACATGCATGCCACTGCTTGGGGAAATAAAGATGACTTATGCAGGATGTATATAGAAGTGAGCATGTTTATGAACTGAAGGAGAGCACTTGTCAATGACATTTTTCAGCTTGATGTATGCAGCTTAAATGATAGGTTGAAGATTCATAATCTAAGTGTTATTTTGTATTCTTGGTAAAGCCTCCTTGTAGAAAATCACATTTACTAAAAATTGATCATCTAGTGGGATGGGGTTGAAATGAAATATATATGAAGACTGAATTACACTTAAATATCAGTTTCGGATTTTAAAAGCCGTGCGATAGGGTTGTCTGGACTGTTCTCCATGCTTTGTGTCTTTAGAGATAGTTTCTAGTTAGCTGGTTTGAAGTGGAATTAGGGAAAAGAGGTAGCACAGATGAATAAATCAAACATTTTTTTACCCTCCCTTGAAAAAAATGGTCTGTAGCCTAAGTCTCTTTTTGCTGGAAAGGGAGAGATTAAAATGTTCTAACCTGATAGATACCTAAAGCATATAGTGGTATGCATGGTTCTGAAATTTCCATGCAGGTTTAAATGGGAGCTGTATTCCTTTTAGGATTAAAAGAGTGAGAACTTGAGGACTATCTGGAAAGTATCTTTGTATGACTTACCCTTGTTAGTGTCAGTCAATGTAAAAAAATTATAAAACATCTGTCACTTCAATTAATAATATTTTAAATGCAGAGCTCGGCTGGATGAATGGAGAGCATCTAGAGGAAAAGTGATGAGGAGACCTCCTATATCTGTGCTTCTGGGACCCCAGTCTAAAAGTGAAGAAAAAGAATTCTCTTCTGGTGATTCTTTAGAGTATGCACTACATAGTGAAAAGGTCAACAAGACTCTCGCAGAATGTCTGCAGTTAACCAAACAGGTATTCAATCCCTTGCGTACCAATTTCTAATCATATAGGTCCCTACAACATGCAGGTCCTATGCTGGACCTGTGAATCAGGATGCAGAAGACTGATTACTGCCCAAGTTAAGCAATATCAAAGCTTCTTGCCAACACCTGAAAAAAATAGTTCTCACTTAAGCTTCACTAACTGCCTGAACTACCAAATAAGATATGGTAACATAATAAAGTAGAAAAGCTACAATGGCTGACACTAGCTATAAAGTAATTAAAAAAATAACAAGTTTGCATTTGCAGAAACTTGCCTGGACTTCTGAAAAAAATGTTTTAAGTAGTTCTGAAGTTGTCTATGCATTCTATTTTCCCTGCTACTTACAATACCATATAAACAATTCTCATTTGGAAGAATAGGTAGATGACAATTCTTTTGCTCAAGTTCATTGTTCAGTCTTGGAAATACTTGCCATCTTCAACTTCCAGGGTTACTCTCCAAGAAAGGAAAAAAAAATTGCTTTTTAATTCAAAAACCAGCTAAAATACAGCACCTCAAAATGTTTGCCGCATTTAAATCTCTGCTTTTGTGTTGACTTTAGGGACGTGAAGCCAATGAAATACGTGCTATGTTGGAAGATCTGACACGGAGCATTCCTGGGGCTAAAAAGCTTGCAAAATACTGGATCTGCTGTATGTGTCTTGAACAGAGAGGCCCTCTTGAAAAGCTTCTTGCTGTCTATGAGGAGGCCATTTTGGCAGGAGCAATGGTGAGCAGCTTGTCTCCAAGTTTGAGATTAATATCAAGGCATGAAAATATGATATATAAAACAGAACTACTTCTGATTGTAATATTCTTTTATAGTAGAAAAACCATGTGGCCTACTTGAACATTCAAAATTGGATTTGGTTTGCTCTGTAACCACTGTAGATACTTACTACTTTCAAGAAGAAAGGTATAGGATCATCAAAATACCATATGATGTTCCTCCTAGAAGAAATGAAGGACTGAGACTTCTGAAAACACTAGAAACGCAAAATAGAACTTAGTTTTACATTTATTGGTGGACTTAATTCCTCTGCTTGAATATCACCAAGATTTCAGGTCATCAAATAGAGCCTTAGTACACAAAAACCAGAAAATACAGAATTCACTTCTGTTGTGACTTCTGTCTGAACAGCATTAAATAAAGGGTTTGTATCATGAGCATCATGTGGTCTGTACCACTTCCCCTGTAACTGCGATACCAAGTAAGGTCAAATGATGATTAATTTTGGAATTGTTTTTCTGAAACAATGCAACTTTTTTCCAGCCTAAAGATGAACTACGACACGCACTAATAGACACTATGAGAAACACTGAAAGCCTTTTCAAGTCTCAGGATGGTAAGTCTGAGTACTCTATTCTAGTTAAATGTCTGGCTTGACAGGCAACACAAGCTGTTTAAACTATTTGTACCTATTTCATGGAAACTTCTCAGTGGACATTTGTACTCAATTGTCTTTGAAAACAACCTTGACTAAACTAATACTTTTCAATTCTGGGCCTGTTAAAATGAGTAGTGGAGATGCTTCATAATCTAACTTTCACAGCAATGTTGTCCAGCTATTTTAGCCTGATAATCAAAGAGTAAATAAAAACATTCTTGTGAGATAAAAATCAGTTGCCTCTTTGACACAAACTCCTTCACTAGCAGATGCACAGTTGTGTTACAGCATATTGGCAATTAAAAGTGGAAAACATTCCAATTTTGGAAGCAAATTAGACACACACATTCCTATTCAATGTAACAACCTGATAAGTATTTGATTCCAGAAACTGGCTGAAATACTTGTTCAGACCTTCTGTGCTTGGGAAGAAAGAATGACTTCTCAGGATGTACTTAGGCTAAGTTTTCAGGTTGCACCTTCTTGAAACTGACTAAAATTATTAGTCTCTTAAATTGCTGTGGCTCAGACTCAAGACATACTTAAAACTTTACATGAGAATGAGAGTTAAGATTTCAGAGATCTGTCTAAAACAATAACTTCCCTGTAACTAATGACAGTTGTACTTTCTTCAATATTTCAATTTTAGAGGAAACTGTGACAGAAGCTCATTTAAATGAGGTAGTGGAAGTCAGCAAGGAAACAAACTCATCTGTAGAGCAAGTTGAGGAGGCCTCCAAGGATCTCTGCCCTGATGACCAAAAAGCAGAGAGTGATGACAGGCAGGCAGACACAAGCAGTGAAGTGATCAAAAAAGAAGAAATGGATTTAGACTTGAAACCTAGAGAAGAGATCTTGCCAAAAAAGAATAAAAAGCGCAAGACTAAAGAACGTATGAAAAAGAAAGGAAGATGTGAAACAGAAGAACAGGCTGAGGATGAGGTAAAAGAGACAGCCCAAGCAGTTAATTCTCTTGAGGAGGAGAATGACACATCTTACCTAATGAGAGACAACCCACCTACCACACCATACTTGGAATGGTAAGATTACTTCAGGAAACTATGGAAAGTTTGCAGTGTCTGAGGCAGCAGTAATGTTTGTGTCCTGTTGAAACAGAGAGATACTGCATTTGTGACCACCCAGTTCAAAAGCTCTCAAGAACGTAGCTTTTTAGGATTGCTTTATCTTCCTTTAGAAGAATGTCTTCTTAAATAAATTCCTCTATTTACTCAATCTGTTTTGCTTTTTGAATACCTAACTACAGAGTAATCAAATGTCTTTGTGGCAGAGACAAATTCCAGGTTTAGGATCCTGTCCTGAGGCCCACATGGCATTAGCAGTTCTATACTGAGCTAGGTAAAGAGGAAGATAATGTTTTCAGTCCTCTCCTTTTCAAATGTGTATGTAGCTGCATGTCACACAGCACAGAAGTGAATTAAGATATCTTAATTGGGTCTTGAGGCAAAAATCTGGGTAGTAATCTCAGAACAAAACAGGTTACATTCAATTTTATTTTTTTTTTGCCACAAGGTTTCTTCAAAGATAGCAGACTTAAGGAAGTTGTGCTCAGCTTTAGCATCTGATGGAGCTGGATCCCTGGCAACTGTTTGCTTTCCCTCATAGCAAGAAGAACAGATTCCCCCTGATGGAACAGGGGGAGAATCTTCCTCTGGAAACTCTTTTCAGGAGATTCTTCATATTAAAATATTTTGTCCAAAAAGAGCTGTACATCTGGTTTTAAACATATGAATGGGAAAGGGCCTGTTTCCTGTTTCCTTTGGCTATGGGAATGGGAAAGAGTTGAACAGGAATCACGATTTGCTGTTCCTGCTAGATGCTACAGAGGTGATTTGTATGATGATGTCCCTATGTTTAGTGATTTTATTTTTGGTTATATTTTCCTCAGTGTGAAGATGTACTATGAGGCAAATAACTCCAGTGCTAAAGACCTGAAAATTGTAACCCCTTTGCGATATTCTCAACGTATTCGGGAGAAGACGTGCAAGCAGTCAGATACTGTTAAAGATCAAGATCCACACATGTCTCCATTTGAACAGCTGGAACTGGAATCAAAAGCCACTGCATTTATCCACAATCAGAGCAATGCACTCAAAGAAACAAGTGCTGAATTAGAAGAGTAAAAAGAAGCATTAGTGCTACACGGGGTTAAAGATTGGGTTGTTTTTAAGAATTGGGGGCTGTTTGTTTTTAGTAGCTTTGAGAGGGGAGCCTATCTCAAACTTACATAGGATGGCTTAAGATGAAATGTGACTGTCGTGAGTCACTGAACTTCTAAATGTATAAGTTTCTGCCTCTTTTTAAATTCTGGCAAATTGGTCTGTTTTAGTACTTATAAACATTAGTTTATTCATGTTAAATGGAATTCATTAAACAATAATTTAAGGACCAGGTTTAACACTTCATGTAACAGTTTGATTGTAGTATATTGCTAGTATCTACTGTTTTCTTGTTGTAGTTCCTAGAAATCCTTTAGAATTGCACAGTGTAACTTTTTATTTTAGAAACAAAAATACCATAGGCATTCCAATATGGTGATGTGTACTACCGCTACATTTAGTTTTGAGCTTACCAGCTAGTAAGTTGTACACTAAGTTTAAACTGTTGCATCCTTAGATGAGGTTTGATACACTAATTAATTACGATGTGACTATTCTAATGTTGGTTTGTGTTAGTCTGTAATATGGTAGACCTATTAAACTAATCAACTGAGTTGTATGTGTTCTTTATTTATGGGCTTTACACTGAAAACTGATTTAGAACATGGCTATAGGCCTGAGACTGGAATTGTGAAACTTATTTTAGCCTGTACTTAGAAGTGAACCATCAAAGCAGAACACTGAAATTTTTCACAAAAGCTGAGGTCCTTAGGGCTAGCTAGAATATTCTGTTTGCAGAAAGGACATGCTCTTTGCATCTGACAAGATCTATCTAACAAGAAACCAAACTTCAAGTGTGTTATTGTGCTATGTTTTCTTCAGAGAACCCTCCTGATCATTGAAAAGCAAGCCCAAGCATCCACTTGTACTATGTGGAGTGACACAGGATCAAACCTGTCTTACTCAGAATGCGGTCTAGGCAGGTGTGGGGGACCTCAGCTGGACTGAGGCCCTTGGACAGGGTGACTTTGACCTTCAGAAGTATTCCAGTCTACCCTTGAGAGAATAAACAGGAACAAGAAGAACTGCAAGATAAACAAGTTTGAGGAAAGTGATAGCAAACTGAGGTGTGTGTTCCTTTGGCAGAAGGGCTGAGTTGTGATGATCTGAAAATATCCAATGAAAAAGAAACATAACTTTGAACCAATGAGAAGAAGACACATATAGGGAAACTATGAGAAAAAGACACATCTGGGGAAAGAGAGTATAAATAGATGGGGAAGAAAAACAATAAAGGCTTTTTGTGCTATGCCAACACTTGTCGCTTTGTCTGTCCCAACCGCGACAGGCAGGCACTTCTGGTTTGCTTGAGGATTCAACTCCCTTGCATCTTTTGGATTCTGTGCTGGTCAGGGCATCTGTGTTGTGCCAGTTCTGCTTTGTCACAAGGCAGTGACTGGGACACTATGGAGTCAGGCTCACAGTGATGTGGGGTTGTTTTGTTTCGGGTTGTTTTTGTTGTGGAAGCTTGGTTGGTTGATTGGTCTTGTTTGGTTGGTTGGTTTTAAATCTGGAATTCTGTGAAGCGAAAATGCTTTTTCCAGCATGGAAAACAAAATGGTGGAAATCAAACATGCACCTGCCAACAGAACTGACCAAGACTTCTATGGTTCACAGGCAGCTTTAGGGTTTGGGGTTTTTTTGTCCGTTTGGAGATTATTTCCTCATCTTTTGTTACAGAATATCCTGTAGTTAAAGTTTTACTTACACTTCCTTACGTGCTGGTTACAATTTCTTAGATAAAAAAGGTTAAAGTACAATTCATTCAGCCTGCAGTTTTATTTATTTCAGTCACAGAGCTAAGCTCTGGCACACCTTAGTCTTTCACTACACGAGAGAACCCGACTGTGAAACTTAACGTGGATCCTAAAGAGACTCTTGAGGTGTTAACATGCTGGGCATGTGGGGGAGCTGTTTACTGTTAACGAATACCCGTTCTAAGCCCCGTTCGCTTGTTCTGAGGAACAAAAGCGGGACAACCGCCATCGCAGCACGCAGCCCTGCCTCAGAGGCCGGGCCGAGCGAACGGGCAGGCCGGCCTCACGTCCCCCGCCCGGTCCCCTTCTCCCGCCCCGCCGCCGAGGCAGCGCTGTCTTCTCTCCCAGCTTTCCGACCTCAGCGTGGAGAGGCTTGCGGTGCTGCCCAGCCGGGCTGTGGAGCCAGCGCCGGGGCCGCCCGAGGGCCTTTCCCTCAGGCGCCGGGTAGAGGCCCCGGCCGTTTGCGCGGCCCTCTGAGGCGAGTAACGCCTCCGCGCCTCACGCATTGAGGCCCTGGCGGGGCTTGAGGGGCTCTGTGTGGGCTTCGGCTTCCCTCTCTCAGGGTAAGGGAGCCGTGGCTACCAAGTGTAACTGCTTATTTACGTGAAGCACACACCGAGTGTGTCCGTTCCAGTGAAAAACACCACCCTTGGTCATCATTTAGTTGCCTCTCAGCATGTTTATTTTTGAAACTGAGTAAATCAGCATTTTATCCTTTCAGAAACAAGCACTGAGATGCCTTCTAGAAACTACTCATTGGCCCATTAAAACACTGTGTGTGCACAGGTATATACATAAAGCAATGTTTGAATGGTGAATAACTAACTTTAAAGCATGTAGTCTGTAAATCCAGTGATAGGATGCGTCGGAATGGTTCAAAGCTGTGTCAGAAGGGGTTCAGACTTGACACTAGGAAGCATTTCTTTACAGAGAAGGTGGCTAAACACTGGAACGGGCTTCCTGGAGTGGTGGCTGATACCCTAAGCCTGTCAATTTTTAAAAGACATTTGAACAATGCCCTTAAATACATGCTTTAATTTTTGGTCAGCCCTGAGTTGGTCAGACAGTTGGACTAGATGATCATTGTCTCTTCAAGCCATCTGTCCTGTCCTGTCCTGTCCTGTCCTGTCCTGTCCTGTCCTATCCTATCCTAAATCTATCAGTTGTTAAGGCCTTTGCACATGAACACCAGTAATTTTTCCTAGTTCGATCCTGCTCATGCTGTTTTAGGTGAGAATTGTCACTGGAAGCTCAAAGTTTATTGTTTATATTACTGTGCCTGTGAGTTTTGTTTAGCATTATGAAACCACCTGCAGAAGTGCAGGTAACAAAAAGAAGATGCTCAGTTGTAGGGCTGTAGTTTACATTTTCAAAGAGTTTTAGCATTCAAAATAAAAAAAAATTGCAGAGATGCATTGTATGGTACTTTGAGTTGAACTTTCTGAAGGCCTTATTCTCAGCAAAATCACAATAAAAGGGGTTAGAACTGTATCTATGGGTAATGCTGAACAGTTGTAGGAATCCACATACTACATTTATTACCCATTCTTGTAATTTTATGGGTATTTTCCTCATGCAGATTATATTAACAAATTTTTAAAAATGGTGCAAGGTCATGACGAAGTTTAGAAGATCATCCTGTGAAAGAGAGTGAAGAGAAGTGCTGGACCTAGGCTTGTAAAGCATGGAAGAATACAAAGTGTTGAAGATACTAGGAGAAGGATCCTTTGGCAGAGCTCTCCTAATTCATCACAGAACCAGCGACCACAAGTATGCAATGAAGGAAATAAGACTTCCTATGGTAAGCATGACATTTATGTCACCCCACCCACCACTTTGAAAAAATAATAAAATTTTTAAAAATCATAATTCTGGATATATTTTTGAGACACTGAACACTTTTGTTGACAGTTTTGTATATTAGGCTGTTGCATGGTAAGGCTGCTATACAAGTATGTGTGAGTTCATGTTGTTGGTAATAAGTAGCAAAATCTGATCTGTTTTGGAAGGTGTGTGGTTACGTTTTGGGAGGTGTACTACATAGGAAGACACTTAGAATGAAACCCCTGTTCCCCTGACACCCTTGGCTGGATTCCCATTGATTTCACTAGAACGCAGATTTAATCTGCAATACCTAATGAGGAAATTAGCCCCATACTATTGCTGGTAATGTTATTCAGGTTACCTTCTCTGCATTGAGCTAGCCAAAAATCACAAAATGGGAGACACTGGCTTTATAGAGGCTCAGTTAATTGCGCGACACTTGGCTTTATACCGGGTTCATGCAGTGTAGCCTGTTTCAAAGTCTGTGTATGTGAATTTGTTACATAGTTCTGTTTTGCTAAAATAGAAAAAAATCATTAACCAAAGTAAGAAAGTATCTTCTCAAATTAAAAAAAAAAACCCTGCCTCCCAGAAAGCAAAGAACTCTTCAACTAGTCATAAACCTTAGATTAAAAACAATGGGGTTTTCAGGCTTCTAAATGACTTTTTAAAATAAGAACAATTCTTAAAAATATTTTCCTTTTGGAAAGTGAGGTGCATTGTGTATATATGAAAATCCGTTAGTGTGACATTTATATAACTGTACGTACGTTTTTAGTCTTCATCTGATGTAGAGAACTCTAGGAAGGAAGCAGTTATTTTGGCTAAAATGAAACATCCGAATATCGTTGCCTACAAAGAATCATTTGACGGTAAATATAAAAACTTAAAATATCTTTATTTTGTTTAAAATGGCATACTGCTGAGGGATCAAGATTACCTTTTATGTTTGATAATAAATACATGTTATAAACAAAACACATGTTTATTGTACATAATACTGCATGTATTATGTACTAAATATATGTATATATGTATGTATATTATATATTGTATGTATATTATTAAATTTATGTATGTATAAAGCATGTAGTCAAAGCTTTATAGTAACAATAATATACTTACCCTGCTAATGAAATTACTAATTATTCTTAAATTACCTAAAATTTAGCTGCTGGACATCTGTATATAGTGATGGAATATTGTGATGATGGAGATCTAATGCAAAAGATCAAACACCAAAGAGGAAAGTTGTTCTCTGAAGATACGGTAAGAAAAGATGTTTTGAACCAAGGACCTAGGAATCCTTTTTCATGGAAACTGAAGCACACACACCACATAAAACAAATTCTAGATATATAACCTTGGAGTACCTTAAGAGAA